CATCTTTATGACATTTTTATTTAAAGAAAGACTAAAATGGAAAGTTTCAAACCTGTAAAATGTTGCAACCTCTTGTCACCTGTAAATGCCAAGTAACTGGCCTTGGTAGTTTTGAAGCAACTCCATAGTTGTTTTCTACATGCTGTGGGGTGCTGCTCTTCCTTACACACAAAAGACATTTTGCATTTATGAACTGTCCCAAAATCACTGACTTGGCACAGAAGTACTCCAGTGAAGTGTACACTTCTGAAAATGGTATCTAATACACTCAGAGACTACAGTACCCATTTCTTACTGAAAATAAAACCAAGCACAGTGGACTGTAGCAATTACTTAGCCATCAGAAACCAAGGGAATTTGATACAAACTCAGAAACAGAATCAGGTAACTTGCAGACTCTTGGTCTGAGAGTTCCTCCATGTTCATTACAAAGTTACAGCCAGGTGGAGTCAGTCCGTGTAGTACCTATAGATTTTTTTAAAGTATAAGCCTACAAATACAAAACTGAACAGATTTTAAATTTTTGTAATTCCAGTATTTCATTCAAGCAAATAATTCAAAGGTTTCGGGATGAAATGGTAAATTTTCCCTGTGCATTTCAGGATATTCTATCTATTTCTTTTTCCAGGTAGTATTCAGTTCATAACTTATATGAGTTGAAGTCTATTCCTAAAATCCATCATCTCCTGAGATGCCACAGACAACTTCCCAATATGTCCAAAACAGAGATGATGCTAACAGAAGAAACCCTTGAGCTACTCCATTACATTGCAAGAGCATCATCAGTTAAAAGCAGAAATCCAAAATCATAAATTAGTCTACATCACCTTTTGAAAACCCAGTAATAATGAAATAGGTGCTACCTTCAGCATCTTCTCAGAACGTTGTGCCACAGTTATTCTGGACTTGACACTGGTTGCCTCAGTTCACTTAAGATGGAAACTAATCATTACACCCTCTCTTTGACCAGCACATAGCAAATTTATCTCACTTTTGTCCTGCCATCTGTGTGCTGTCAGCCAGTGAGATGGTTCATAAAGAACTGTCACGTGAAGCAGAGCATACATATGAAAGCATCCCTGGATGCAATCAAACATCACCCTGTTGAAGTGCACAACTTGTCTCTGTGTCAAGGCTTTTCACCTCTCTTTCAGGATATTTTTCTAAGTCAACTAAACACAAAAATGCAACCACAAGATTTCCCAGGAACAAGTTAGTAATACCAGTTCTGCTCACAGGAGAGAAAAGGAAACTTATCTGAAAAATTCACTAAGTGCTGTTTGTTCTAAACATAGCTTAATCTCCACAATCATCTCTTCCCAGCTTGCAAGGACATTTATCTGTGAGATTTTTGCTAGGCTGAACTAGTGCAGTGGACTCTGTGAGCTTAGCATACTTCCTACCTCAAGCCTAAGATGGCTTGAGCATGAGGGATAAAAGGGAATAGCTGCTAATAGTATCTTTTTAAAAATGACAGGAGGTATTTATTACTCGTAATAGTTGTGAGTGAGAAAGAGGAGTGAAGTAACTGTTAGAAGCATCAGTCAGAAGTGGACAAACTCAGCTACTCCGAGGAGCTGAACATGGAGCTGCAACACACTTCTTGATCAGAGCAAGTGCAACACTGCCTCCACAGCCTCTGCAGCTGCAGGTTCATGGAGCCACTAAATCCAGGGAAAACATGTGGGGTCAGAAGCTTGCAGAGTTTTGGCTGACTAATAACTGCAGCAGCTGCTGACTCCCCCGTCTACTCTGTCTGCTCAGGGAACACAAGACCTTCGCACTAGAAATTATTCCCAGCTGCAGCTGTTAGATATTCATGACAAATGTCTAATGGCTAAAATTGTGTGTTGTGGACAGTGTCACCTTTCATGTCATATGGGGACAATTGTGTATTCTCCACTGTGGCTGGGACACTGAGCTGTCATCCTAACATCATCTGGAGCTGTACTCCTAGACCACAAACCACTGTCACTGAGCAGTGAGTTCTGACTGCTGCTGATGCCTTCTTTGTATCAAGTTACTGTTTTCTACCACTATAGATATACCAGGACTGAGTAGCTGCCACTGTGTCTCACTGCAAGAGAGAAAGTGTAACTGTAGTAGCCCTGTCTATGAATTGCATTTAAATCAGATTCAATTCCAGGTTACAGCAGGACAAGGGACATGCGCATCCTGTTCCATAGCACTTGGAAGTTTGTGCTTCCAAAGGCAGTGGGCCCTTTGTGCTGATGTCTGGTATCATCAGAAGAAAACACATGGAGGATTTATTCTGTTGATGAATGGAGGGAGCTGAGCTGCTACCAACCAACGTGATGTTTCCACTGGATTACTCTGCACTTCCTTTCTCCAAGTAATCCTGAGTCAATCTTCTGGCAAAAACATGCCTTTCTACCGATTTACACTGTAGAACTAACCTGAAATAATGTTTCCATGAATCAATCAATTTTCCAACTCACAGAATTCTGCAATCTTACGAAAATCTGCTTTTTGTTAACATACAATGAGATGCCAGGAACAGCCTGAGGAGCTGTAAAGCACACAGAGAAATTACTATACTATGGAGGGGTGCAGTGCAGGCCAGTGACCAACAATGCAATGCATCTCACACATGGGAGCTGTTAGGGACACAAACTGCACCAGCTCTTTTTAGGCTCCAGTGCCTTTAGGGCACTCCAGTCCAGACACAAGGGGGTGGCACAGTTGATCTGATCACGTATCATGTCCAGACACATCCTGGATATGCTGGACTTAGTGAAAATATTCGGAACAGTTCTACTGTGTGCACAACAACAACTTGGCTGTGTTCAACAGCCAAATAACCAGAAGTTTCCTCTTGAAGTAGGTTGCATACTGCCACCCCAAGTGTCAGTAGAACTGGTTTATCTGATAATAATGTGTGATCATCTGTCTTTTTCCAGCTCTAAATCTAGATTTGATGGACAGAGATCTGAAATCAAGGCCAAAAGCACAGCCAGAAGAGAAGGAAACATCACTTGCTTTCTTTGCTTTGTGAGAGAAAAAAACACTAGAGCCCAGTTCCTCTCCTGTGGAAGGACAGAACACATTGCATTAGACACTATCAACCTTTAACAGGTTCTGGGATTATTTTTAAAATTACAAAAACAAGCACATGAGTTCTTTCTTGTTTACAGGACAAATGTTGTCAGAAAATAAATCCAGCAACAAAGGGGAGTGGCAGGGAAAGATGGATAGCCTTTGGTTTCACTAACAGTCTACTCAGATGAAAATATCTCCCCTATATCTGACCCTCTGGGTGTGTTGCTGGTCAAGTGAAGCCAAGTTGCATAATGTTCAGCCAAGAGAGAACCAATTTTGGGCTGATGCACTGATGGGGAGATTTACTAGAGCATAATTATGTGTATAGACTCAGTTTAAGGAGCCACTGCAATATTTGCTATCAAGTAAGGAAATGGCCTCATCCTGAAATGTGCTGAGATCACTTGCCTGGTGCTGAGTCACTAAACTCCTGTGGGAGTTAATCAGAGCTGAGAGCTTTTGATATCTTAGGGTGTACTTCATACAGAGTGTGATGGAAAGGATACTGCTTCTCAAATGCTGACAAGCCCTCCTTTTCCCCTGCAGTTTAATTCTAGGATTTGGCACTGAAATATGTATTTTGTGTCCCCTGTTGTCATCACACACATAAATTAAGGTGCAATTGCTATGGAGAGATGAGAGGTAGAAGTCCTTTTTCAGTAATTTTTCCATAGCATAGTCCTTTTTCAGTAACTTTTCCTCATGCAAAGCAGAAAAATAGCGTCTGCCCCAGGGGAAAACTAAAAGTTAGCAGAACTTGAGTCAGTAATGCCTCTTCCCCTTTCTCTGATGTGCATCCTGTCTCTTGGCATGTACTAATTTAATCTTTCACTTTATAATGAAGAAATCCCTGAAAACATAAGCTTTCTTAACATTTGCAAGAATGTTGTCTCTGGTGTGACTTGGGTTTTAGTTCTGTTGTTGAAGAAAATTATCCTTCAAAACTATTGAATTCAGTCTATCATTTGATTGATCTGTATTTCTAAATTCACTTACACCTGATACAGAAGAGTATCAAATATTTTAAGAAGCATTTCAGCTCAAACTCAACCCCTGAACTGGATGCCAAGACACAATCAGTTTACATGAAATGAGGCACCTGAAAAGGAAAAAAAAATAGCCCTAATGATTAGCAAATTTAAGAACTTTTTCAGAATTTAAATTTATAGGTTTTGGCTGTGATGTACATGAAAAGAATCCTTCCTAATCCCTCTGACGGTGGCGTTATGTCTTCACTTATGAGTGTCATAAACAGATTGTGCCAAATCCATTCACAATCACATTTCTTAAATTTGCACTCATGCTATGATTCATTGTGAATGCCATTATACTAAAAATAACAGGAACGGCGATTAATTATGTTAAGTGCACATGTGTACATTGCTCTTTGCCATATCTCTACTATTCTTTCAGTGTTTCTTTTACACCCTTCCTAACAAGACAGTGAATCTCTAATCCATAACGTCTAATCTCTGATACTATATTCTATCATACTAAGCTGTTCCTGAAATAAAGCCCTCTAGTTTCTTATGTCATTTGTATTCTCCAACTCCCACCCACCTATTAGGAAGCTTTTGAGGCATAGTTTGTTATTCATACCACAACACAAAGGACAGCTATCCATGGGGCTGCAGAATTCTGTGGCACTAATTTACATAAGGTAGGAATTTATAAATCACAAGATACTTCTTTATGATAGTATGATTTAATGTAATTTATTCACATTCATACTGTATCTTCTTAAAGCAACTAGAAACACTTTTATTTGCTTATCGTTGCATTTTCAATAGATGGTATAACAGCTTACTAGAATACTAGGAGGTATTTATCGAGTAAGTTATTTTTAACCACAAAAATGCCCATTATAGCTCATGAATAATTAAAACCAACAATATTTATAAAGAATCGTTAACTAATTCTGCTTTTGTTTTAAATGCTAGCCACCTGCACTCTGCTAGCAATCTATGCTGAACTAGCAGGTGTTTCTCCTAAGGACCACGGAGCAGCTGACCCCCTCCAGGTAGCTCATAAGAGAGGAGAGGAGAGCAGACCAGACCACACCACCTCCACGTGGGAAAGCAAGCAGGAGTGCAGCAGCTTTAGGTGATAACAGACTTCCCTTCTAGCCCTGAATTGAGGTAAGTGCTGCCGATGTTTTGGGCTACAGTTGAGGGAGATCTGCTTGCTTGATTTACAGTAATATGCTGTAGCCTGTTTACTGTGTTTGTGTTTAATTGTCATATGTAATGGTGCCTCAAAGGAGTTGTGTTTTGAGATTATTGTCTTTGTGATCTGAGATATTTTGCAGAAGTTCAGTCTTCTGTTTGTGTGTTTGGAATCTGTTCTTTAATTAGCTGCCTTTCCCCAGGGTGACTGACCAAAACAGAAGGAAAAAGTGGTATAAAAACTTCACAAACTTTCTATGACTCTGTAACTCTAAGTTTCTTGCCTTGCTTCTGAGAGTTCCTTAATGTCTATGGCAGAAGATGATTCAGAGGAGAGGATTGGTAGAAAACCTGTTTCTTGTAGAGCAGTAAGAAAGGAAATAAGATGTGACTAGGAACCATCAGTTTGTGTGATAGACCGCTTGTCAATCTTCTGCAGGAGCAGGTTTTTCAGTGAGATGAAGGAGAAAAAAAAAAAGCCCATGTTTGCTTTTTTGATGAATCTGCGTTTCTCTGCTACAGCCTTCTGTTTCCTTGTTTGAAGAAAAAAAAATCTTGAATGTTCAGATGGTCACTCTAACACTTGCAAAAAATAGACAAACCCTATTCTCCCTTAAAAACCTACTGTAAATCTGAGTTCCCTACACCCCTTGTTCCCTCTTTGATCCCAGTTCCCACCCACAGGCTGCAGAAGGGATGAACTAAGAAACTACCAAGGCATGGGGACTACCTTGAGATATACTACTTATTTCAATATATTTATGAAAATTACTGCCAAGTATTCCAGGGGAGATGGAAAGAAATGGGTGTGGGATGTTCATGTTGAAATGTTCACACAGCCTCCCATATGCAGAGAAGTACCTGTGTTTGGCTGGAGTGGGGCACAGAGGAGCTCAGCAGCTGCCACACATGACCTCTGCTCCAAGGGGTTCATCTCAACTCATGGTAAAGGGTTGCTGAGTCCTGAAGGCAGCAGGTTCCTGTGTTTCTGGTGCATTGTGAAAGGGCAGTGGTTGTTATTGAAAAGTGCCTGCTGGCATCAAGCTGTGTTTTGACTGAGAATACTCCAATATTCACCTTAATGCTTATTCACAGGTATTAAGCAGTGTGAAAACCATGTTTAGTTGAGTTGCCAAACAGCATATGCAAAGAAGCTTGATTTTTGTAGGTTTTCTCCTTTGGTCTTGCTGCTTCACCAGAGTTAGAGGGATCTCCAGCAGCTTTTAAGTCTCTGCCTCTCTGTAGCCACCAGCAGGTTCTTGTCAAAAACCTAATTTTTATCATTCACTTTTCTGAGTAATTTCAGGCCTATAGGTGTGAAAGGGTATTGCCTGCCTTGTATCCATGATGATGCATTGTGACTTACTTTCCCCCTGAAATGTTTGAAAACACCATGAATGATGTTTTGTATCTCTCGTGCCTGAATCCTGTCACTTCTGTAGCACCCAGAGCAGGTGAGCTGGATGACTAAATTGTGTTTGGTTGCAGGTAACAGCCAGAGCTTTCCTATGACTCTCTAGCATTGCTAACACCCTGCTAACTCTTTCCACAGCTCCTTGTTACAGGCACTCTCAGTGCAGACGTTAATCGTTCCTTCCCCTGTTCCCCAGCAGCAGTGAGGCTGCAGAGGAATAATGCACAACAAATAGTTTGACTCATGCACACCTTTAGCCTCTCTACTCAGCAATGAGACCTGCATTTGCACATCAGCTTACGGAGGAATGATTTCCATAGCAACAGCAAGAATATGTGGGATAGTATGAATACTGCCTTGGAGAGCATATAAAGCACCTTCTTAAGAAATAACTGACTGCATGGGTTCTGGAAAAAAAACACTTGCAGTTGGCTATGTGAAGACAGTGTTGTGTAATTTTTTTTGTTGTGGTAAAAAAGAATTCATGTTTTGTTTTAGACAACATCACTTTCTTAAAAAGACATTCCTGTGTAGAGAGAATGGGGGACTTCTGCTTTGTGTAAACTGTTAGTGGATGCAGAGACTATGGAAAGATCCATGGTGATTCTTCAGCAGCACAGTGAATTAATAGTTTTAGTGAAGATCTAAAGGGAGGTTACCTGAAGCAAGCATCAAGGGGGAGAGAAGAATGACAGCTCAGTTGATTGAGGGGGCAGGGAAGCAGGATCAGGTGATAGTCCTTTTAAATAACAGGTTTTATGGTCACTACTGAGGGGCAGGCTTTCTGTTATCAGAAGACAGGGAGGCGATGCTCTGGTACTTGGGGATGCAGATCCACAAAACAGGAAATGACAACTATTTAATTCTTGGTGACATGCACGTGTCTGTCTTCCTCTTGCTGCTGTTGTCTTACTGATTCTCTTCCTATTTGTTTTTGAGGGGTTTTTGTTGCCCAGCTCCATGTAGCCACAAAGCAGACAAGTATCTGGACACCCCCACAAAGCTTCTCTGGGGAACATGGTCAGACAAGTGTGTTGATTTCTATAGGTTCAGATGCGTTATTGCTTCAGGAGGGTTGGCCCTTTCCTTCCCGGTCCTTTTGTGAGCTTCAGGGAAATGTGTCCTTGGGCACGCACCTGCATCAAGCTCTGCAGTGCCAGCAGTGATTACTTGGATACAAACAGCTCTGTCTTTCTGAATGGCATGAATTGCTTCAACTCATTATGGGTGGAATGAACAAAAGTAACAATGATGATTTCATCACTTCCTTAGTAGTGTGGTACCTAACCAGCAATGTGTGCTGTACTGCAGCACAAGTATCTTAAAAATAAACAGTTTTGGAAGGGGAAAATTTCTTCATGTTTCAGATATTACTAAGTTTAACAGCTAAAACCATTGGAAGTCTTGAATCTCATGCTTAAGTTGGATGTTGCAGAAAAGCTCCACGTGCCATAGAATTCCCGCCCCTTCCACACATTGAGAGATCTGGATGAGTTTTCACAGCCTATCTTTTCTCAATCTTTTTCTCCACCTTTTGATAAATGATTACTATTCCTGAACAGATTTACTTATTGACTTACACAACCAGCTAATATTTTTTTCTTCTTTCCTAGCCTGAAGGCTTCTGTGCACTCTGTTTCTAGCGTTCTGTAATTGTGCATGCAAAGTCAGCAGCAACAGTGAGAGCCTTGGCAACACACCCAGTGAGGGGGGATAGAAGACGTGCCTGGTTTTGTCTGCTCAGTACTTTAATAGTGAGAAGGCCAGTGTGGGGACAGTGACAACTGGCTGTGGCCCTGTATGGACTCTGTGTGCCTGTAAAGCACCAGCTGGAGGACTGGTTGGGCCCTTGTATTTGCAAATTCCCTTTGGAAATACGTGTGCTCTAGCTCTGGCACTTGTCCTGAGAAGGGATCCTAAACCTATGTCTCCATATGTGAGCAAAGAGCAGGGCTGTGGGATTTCTTCAGGCAGTGGTGCTGGGAATGGCAAGCCAATGGCAAGCCCTGCCTGCAGAGATCAATAATGGTGGGTTATCCCACAGTGTCTGCTGCTGTGGGGTTTAGATCTCAGGAATAAAGCAAGCTATTTTTTTTTAATGAGTATCGTGTACTTCCAGCTTATGCTTTAATAGGATTAAACAGTCTCAGCATGGCCTTGGCAGGATATCACATACCCTAGGGCAGGAGAGTCTAGACTCCCTGTCTGCCCCAGGCATCCTCAGCCACTTCATCCTGGCATGCAAGGAGCATGGCTCTATGGGCACCCTGGCAGGTACGGTGTGGCTGAATCCAGCCCTAACATACACTGGCTTAATCTGAGATCAGGTTATTGCCTGTATAAGAAGCAGGTTATTACTTGCTAACTTGAGTTTTAAAAAGGCAAAGGATAAGCTGGAATACTGCATTCACTGATGGAAACATTATACTAAGGGATACATCTCTCTCTGAAGAGTATTGGGCAGGAACCATAAGTAGTTCAATGCCACCTCCCTCTGCAGGAATCTTTCCCTCCTCCCTCTTTTTTCCGCTTTTGTCTTCTGCACATGACTTGGTCCTATATAGACATGTAATGTCTAACACAGTGTGACCATCTGAGAGTGTCCTTGTTCATAGGGTTGCTTATTCCAGGCTGATGTGTTGCAAAGGAGGTTGAAAGTCTGAACCAGTGTGGAATAACAGCCACATGCTGCTTACACTTGGTGTAAGCAATGAGTTTCACTCTGGGAGCAGGGGATCTTGTAAAGTGAGACATGAGTGCCTTCTCATCACTCTTTCTTCTCTGCATTTACTTTTTTTTCCTGCCAGCTATATCTGCTCTGCTCACATGCCAGTTCTCCTGGCAAGTCTGAAATATGGGAGTTATAGACCCACATTTCAATGCCTGCCCAGCAGACATCATGGAGGACATGTGCACTTTCAGGATGGAGATCTCCTTGCTGGTATCTCTGAAGGCAGATCTGTGGAAGCAACTTCCAAGTAAAATGAAAGACTGTAGAAGACCAACACTGGAAGCTTTTTTGTTTTATCCCATGTAACTGTTTTCTTCATGACAATGCAATGTCTGTGTCAAGGCTATAAAATAAAATACCTCTTTTCCAGAAATGAATAAATCAGAGTTGTCAGCCAAGCCTGCAGGTCTCCCATAGTCAATAAGTGCACTTGCAAGTCTGAAAAGGAGATGAATCTTTCTGGGACAGTCTACAAAACAGTGAAACATGTTCCCCTGCAAGCTAGAGATTGTGGTAGCTTTCAAAAAAACAAATCCCAAGAACAAGTTGCATATCATCCAAACTATAGCAGCAACATAGTAGGATGTATGTTCTTGGGGGGTCGAAAAGCTACTAAAGCAAAGCACTCTGCTGCATGTGCTTGGGGGAAGGGGGGTGGGGAGGGGGAGGAGTAGAGATTGGAACAAACAGCATGTGACAGACTTTAGCTGTGTTTTTTAATGCCAGACTGGAAGATACTCAGAAGATAAACTGAGTGAAGGAACTTAGACAGAGCAGTGCTGAAGAGATTTCCATGGGTCACTGTGCTTTGGTTATTAGGGCATTGAGCAGACTGCTTCAATGCTTTTAAGAATTTAATAAAGTGTATAACAGTTGATCCAACACTGAAAGTTAAATGAAATTTCTCAAGAGTGTCTTTGTCACCTTGGATGGACATGGAGAGGATCTGGGTCAAGGGCATCAGGTGTACAAAGCATGCCTCCAAGCACTATCTCAGGATCAGCAATGTGGTTTGCTCTCTGGCAATGTTTCCCAAAACGAAGCACTCACCTATGCTCTATTTAAATGAGGTTTAAGTGTGGTAAAAAAGGAAAAAGTGGAGAGGAGAAAACTTACTTGTGAAGACTATGGTAAGCAGATGTCTAAAATGAAAGGGGAGGGAAGAAGAGAGGAGGCACAATAGCTATAAGGTATAAGTGGTTTCCCTCAATGTGCTTGTAAGACCTATTGATTCATCATCATAGGGATGGGTGATTTAAGGCAGCGAACTACTGGCTATGAAACTATTAACTTTAGAGTCTTCATCAAAAATTTAGCTTGTCCATATTTCTTTAGTCAGAAAAACTCAACTTGTTCTTTCTGATTTTTTTTTTATCTCATGATATTACAGGAGTTTTGATAATCTGGCATAGACTAGATGTGGTAGGAGAAATGGGAATGGCATAGAGGTACTCTCTGTGGATGGTAGAGATACAGTAAGAAAGTGCTGAACTTGTGCAAACTATCCCGTGAAGAATTAGTGGGGAATTGGAAGTTAGAAGGTACCTCTTAAAATTTATTTTAAGGAAACTATAAGCAGCTTTTTGGGATAAAACTTTCCATGCTGATATCTTTGGGACAAATCCTCTTTGGAATTTTTCTCATTTTCAAGAGATGGGCTTGAGAGCTCAGAGGATACAAGTATTTGCAATGTGGAAAACATTCTGCCAACCTATTCTAGGAGAAAATGTTTTGAAGTTATTTGTCTTGCATCAGAGTCATCCCATAATGAAGCAAATCTGTGCTTTTATACTTGCCATACAATGAACATGCAAAAAGAGATGTTTAGATATGTGCTGGAAAATACAAGTATGATGCACAACTGCTTAGTGCTCTGAGCTCTCACACTGTCACAGTGCCATCCCTCCTGTTGCACTGCTTCAGTCTGGATGTCTACAGTCTTCTTGTGGCTGACTGAGACACAGTAATGACCAGCTTAATCTCACATATATCCCATGATTCCAGATTGTTTTCTCAGCTTAATAGTCAATATCCATGTGGAAAAATATCAGTACTTTTGCTCCAGCTCATGCTTTTGCAGAAGGCTGTACCAATGTGGCAGCCTGACTCCTTCAATTCAGTGGAGTTTAATTGTTGCTGAGATACAGCAACCAATACCAGGCTTCAAGTGGGCACCACTGTGTGGATTATGGAGTCCCCTCTTTGACTCCAACAATAATTACTGGTGATCTTGTAATAAAACTCCCTTGGTACTATCATGTGAATGAGCTGTGGTTTAAAATTGCAGCACTCATCAGAATGATGATAGAAACTTCCATATGCTTGTCCCAATTTGTTAGCATCTGAGTAAGATGGAATAAAATTTCTTCTTGTCAACTGCTGAGTCCCTGCAAGACCAATCCCAGTATTTCCTGTTGTAGTAAAAAGCAGTCCTGTTTGTTTTCAGGTCAAGCTAAAAGTAATTCTTTTGGTAATGACATGAAGCTATCAAAAAACCCAATTCAAGGTATTCAGAAGCTTGGGAACCACCTTTAGACTAAAGCAGACTGAGAAGTCATATAAGGGCTAAGATAACCACAGAATATGATCTGCAAGGTGTTCTAATCAGGTTTTGATGACCTTTTTTCTTTAAGAAAACTTTATCATTAATGTAAACATATAAGTGTTACTCCTTGGCTTTTTCTTCTTGCTTTTCTTGTTTATTTCTTAAATATAATAGATAAGATGTTGCAATTTCTCTCCTATTTCAAATAATTTCTCACTTTCTTCTGCTCTAGTTTTAAAATCCTGAGGATAAGCCTTCCCTGAAGACTCTGGTTTTCCAATTTTCAATAATTCCAAGTTCACCCAGAGTAGGCTTATTCCCCTCCTTATGCCTTTATTGCTCTTGCTTTAGGTTCTGCTACTGCACATGTGGCTGTTTCACTTTGATTACTTTCCATTTTCTCCTCTGCCTACAGGAAATTTCATATAGCAGCCACCCAGCTATTCATCCCTCTTTGATCCTTGCTCTGCTACAGTTTGGAGTCTTAATGTCTTCTCTTCACCACTGTCTCTCTCAAACCTAAATCCAAATCACAGCATATCAAGTAACCTGTAAATAAAGAACTGTGTACTCTTTCTCTCTTGCAGTCCCTCAGATCTTAAATATCCACTAGGATGGATTCTTATTGGTTCTCTTGATATTGTGCTGTTTTGCTGTTGAGATCTTCCTGAGAAGTTTCCTTTGGCTTGCTCCTGTCACCATTTCTAAGCTGGACCCCAACACCTCCTTGGCCAACCTCACACAGGGGCTTTTTGCAAAGTGGGGTCCTCCACCTGCAGGGATGGCACTTCCAGCCTCAGGCTGCTGCTGGGTGCCTTGGGAAGCAAAGCCTCGCTCAGTGGCTCCAAAGTCCCTTGGTGTCTCTGGGAATAGGACTAATAAGGATTTTTTTATATATTTCCAAATCAAAAACATCAATTCACTGAAAAAGACTCATCTTTTAATGGAAATTTGCTTTTCCTCAAATTCTTGTCACTACCAGAATACAAAATCAGGGCAGCAAATAGCTACTGATTAGGTTTTCCCTGGAGAAAGAGAAACAGGTTCAAAGCTCTTGTCAGAATAGGATGTGGTAAGATTGTGAACCCAGGTATATGGTGTCTCAGGTAAGTTCCTGAGTCACTGAATTATTACAAAATAGAAATTTTATGCCTGTTTAACAAGCATTTTCCTCTTTTCTTCATTCTTTGGGGATTTATATAATAAAATAGTGGAATCGTTTTTCCATAAAACTCTATTAACCTTATGCTTAGTTTCTATTTTTGAACTGTCCATTTGATTTGTCATGTGGAGGTTTGCTTAGGGAGGTCTTGGCTGGCACTTGTTAAATCTGTTTGCAGATTACTAAATCCTATTGCATAAGAGGACATTTGTGTAGCCAGGGGCCATGCAGATACCTAGATAAGTGCTCATGTGGGTAAATTTCTTCTTATAGCTTTTTCTTTATGGGCAAATAATAGTTGTTTTCCTGCCAGAGAAAAGTATTGCAATAAACCTAAAATACAAAAACATGAATAATTGGAAGTACTTCTATCAATTAAAAATACTTCTAAAGAGAAACGGAAAGCATTTAATAATATTTACATGTGATGTTTGGCATTCATTCTTTAGGTGTTGATACAAGATTCCAGCAAGAACAGATAACTATGAGGAAGGTAGTTTATTCTACTGATGCATGCTTGGCTATCTGCTGAGCTTTCTTAGGAAAGTGAGATGTTCAGAGCTGGGGGTATTCCTTCCATAAACTAAAACTGAAAAAGTTTTTTCCTGTTTTTAACCCTGAATAAGTGAGCAGAAAAATAAGTGATAAGCAGATGTTCCTCTTAGGATACTGTACAAACTTGCAGAGCTGAGCAGGCAAGAATGAAAACCATCACAGTGGAAAACGAAAAGAAAATGGACAACTAAAAATTAAGTGTGACATAGTCTTGAAAATGAAATATTTTTCTACGTTTTCTCTTGCTATGACTGCACCATATGTCTACCTCATTCCTTATTAAATGTATTAGGAAGAAAAGGGAGCATAAACTAAAACAACCTAAAATGCATGCTTTGCCAAAGTAATTAAATTGCATTTCACTGCTGTGATGCCTCCCTAGACTCTGCCTTTTGCTTCCTGTAAACATGTTTGGTTTTTTCCTATGTGATCTCACAATCCTCCACTGCACCAATCCATTACTGCTTCTGCAGCCACATATAGTCCCAGATTTTGAATTTACTCTCACTTGAACCTGATGCACGTAATAACCATGCCTCTCTCACTGAGGTGTAACACTCAGCTGACAGCTGGGTAAGACCCTCAAAGAAGGCCTTGGGCACTGCAACATGAATTCTTGGCTGAAGCTTTCAGGTACAAAAGTATTGCAAATAAATAACTACATGTTATCATGGTGATCTGTGTTTGTTTTAGAAGCCAGCCTTTTCAATAAGTGAAGCATAAAATTACAGATGTAAACTTGTTCTCATGGATTTGTGCTGATGATCTCTGTTGCTTATTGTTCTCATGTAGTTGTTTGGCCATGTGCAAAAGGATGAGAGGAAAGGATTTGTCTCCTTCAGTAAGGGGAGTAATTGCCTTCCAGTGCACAAAGGACAGTCATTGCAACAGTCTCAAAATCATAATAATGCAGGCAAGCAAGCAAGCAACAGGGTTGTGTTTTCATAATACCCTCTGAACTCTAGTTACTCAAGGTTTACTCTGCCTTCTACCTGTGATGGTTTATTGGTGCTCACTAGTGCATCTGTTTACTGCTGGCAACAAAAACATGGAAGAGGATTTGGGTCAGAAGATGCAGCAGCTGCAATAAAATTACCAACAGATTATTCAACAGGTGTCTCATCTCTGTAGGATTGTTGAGTTGTGGTCAAACCCCTGATAGTTCTACTGGTTGGAGAGAGAATAGGGTCTGAATCAACTGCTAAAAGCATCTTCTTTGTTTTCCTAAGTCAGAATAATTACCACTCATTGCAATTTAATTTGCAGTAAAAAAGCCCTAGTAGTGCATAACAGCACCAACACCAGTTTTTTTCATGGT